AAATCGATCCCTTACCATAAGGAGCATTCATGCATGACAAATGGGAAGCATAGCTTATACTTCAAAGCTCACTCAACAGGTTCTAATAATTGTAAATGCACTCATTCACCTTACTATTTGAATTATTAGCAATTCTGCGTTGAGATAGTGGTTGAGATTGTAGGTATTGATAAGCATGGGTGATAGGGATTCTATTATTCAATTTCTTGATAAGATAATGAGGCGCATTAAGAATGGGTAGTTCAACTAGTGAACTGACCAGGATATACGCTTGAACATGAAACAACACTCACTGACCTAATTGGTGAAACAACCAAGAAGCTACGCATCGCAGGAGCCAAAACGATCAAGTCTTGATTGCCCAGTGCCTCTGGTCTCATGATGCAATTGAAAGCATCTTTCTAAGCATAAGAAACATTCAAGACTCGCTGCTCAATTTAGCTTAGAAGAATGAGGGTGTCATTGTTGCTTGCTAATTGCTATTCTCGTTTTCTGCATGCACCATCCTTTCCACTACAACATCTTTTGTTGCCATGTGTTGTGGAGGTGTGGTGAAAATTTAACTAATTAATTAAGGTTTATCAAATTCAAGTATCCTGCCAAATTGAAAGTATGCTAATGTCAATAGAGAACTACATTGAGCCATCTATCTAGTCTTTGCTTTACTGTTAAAATAGCTTGTGATAAGTTATATGTGCATGATTCGGGATATTGATAAAATAGGCTGTTGTGAGATTATTTAGTACAATAACAAACAACTATACTCGCAAAGATATGGCTGAAACCAAAAATATGTTAAAGTAATGGTGAACATGCATGTGATTATTGTGTTCAAAGAGGGTGAAAAAATGTTGAAATAGAAAAATGATTGGGTCAGGGGGCCCAATTTCCAAATGCCCAATAAGACAAGATCGGGTTGTTGTCTTAAGCAATACCCTAGACAGTACTTTATGTAAAACCCTTAAATCAGTACGTTACTTTAGCACTTATGCTTTCCACCTATTCTGTGTCGATTAGTCATCTACCTTGGTTAGAATTTCCTCATAGGAAGAAGCCTGGAATTGAGGCTCAGGTTCAGGCTCAAGCGAATCCCTATAAGGTTGAACTGTGGATTAGGATGTTTAAGGAAAGCGTGAAAGATGGCATCGAGAGGTTGAATATATCGATCTCTTACCATGAGGAGCATACAAGCATGATAAAATGGGAATCAGAGCTCATAATTCAAAGCTCACTAAACAGGTTATAATAATCGTAAATGCACTCACTCACTTTCTTGTTTGAATGACTAACTTTGCTGCGTTGAGATAGTGGTTGGGATTGTAGGGATCAATAAGCGTAGTGATAAGGTTTCTATCATTCAAGGTCTAGATGAGATAGCGAGGCGCAAGTAGAATCGGTGGTTCAACTAGAGAACTTACCAGGATGTACACTTGAACATTCAAAGAACACTCACTAACATGATTGGTGAAACTGCTTGGTGCCTCTGGTCTCATGATGCAATTCAAAGGATCCTTCCAAGCATAAGAAACCTCCAAGACTCGCTGCTCGATTTAGCTTCGAAGAATGAGGGTCTCATTGTTCCCTGCTATACTCATTTTCTACATGCACAATCCTTTCCACTATAACATCTTCTGTTGCCACATGTTGCAGAGGTGTGGTGAAAATTTAACTAATTAATTATGGTTTATAAAATTCAAGTGTCCTGCCAAATTGAAAGTACACTAATGTCAATAGAGAACTACATTAAGCCATCTTTCTAGCCTTTGCTGTACTGTGAAAATAACTTGTGAAAAGTTGTGTGTGCATGATTCAAGGAATTGATAAAATAGGCTATTGTGAGATTACATATGTATCCTCAACAGTGATTAGGCCTTTATTTACTAGGATAGAATAGCTTGAAAGGCATTTAACATTATTGTTAATTTTAAAAAGTTCATTGTTTTAGTGTAATAACAAACAGCCATACTCCCAAAGAGATGGCTAAATCCAAAAATATGTTAAAGTAATGGTTAATATTTTGATCAAAGAGGGTGAAAAAATGCTAGAATAGAAAGTTTATTGGGTCATGGGGCCTAATTTTAAAATGCCCAATAAACCAATATTGAGTTATTGTCTTAAGCAGTACCTTTGGCAGTTGTCCCTGCAAAACACTGAAATTAGTTATTGCAATGTCCTCAAGCTCTATTTTATCACCTATGTTCTCCGCCTATTCCATGTCAATTAGTCGTCGACCTTAGTCAGCATTTTCTTGGAGGATGAAGCCTAGAATGGAGGGCTGAGTCATGGTCCAAGCAAAGCCCATGGAGGCTAAATTGTGTGTTTGAAGATTCGAGGGGGCGTGATAGATGGTATCAAGAGGTTGAATGAGTCGATATTTTACCATAAGTAGCTATACAAGCATTACATAATGGGAAGTAGAGCTCATATTTCTTGCTCAACAGGTTCGAATAATCACAAATGCTCTCACTCACTTTGAATGATTAGTGTTCTTGCACTGAGATAATGGTTGTGATTGTAGGGATTGATAAGCGTGGGAGATAAGGGTTCTATTATTCAAGGTCTAAATGATATAGAGAGGCGCATTGAGAATGAGGAGTTTAACTAGAGAACTGACCAAGATGTGCTCATGAACATTGAAACAACACTCATTGATATGGTCAGTGAAACTACCAAGAAGCTACACATTGTGGAACTAATGCACTCAAGATGAAGAATATAAAAATATTAGAGTTTTGATGATAACAAACAAGAATGATTGGTTATATAGTTGCAACAATCAAAGAGAAGTCTAAGAGGACAACCAACCAATGTGAAGTCCATCAAGCCAATTGACAAGGCTTAAAATAGATCAAGATTCAAGTTACAAAGGAAGAACCTAAGCCCAAGAGCCAATAGGTAGTATATTTTTTAGACTTAGACTTAAATGTGAAGGTAGTTGACAATTTGCATGAAAGAGCTCAAATTTCCAACTTTCTAACAGGGTTGGGAATCGATTCCCTCTTCCTAGAAATCGTTTCCCTCATTCTGGAAAGGTTGGGAATGATTACCCAAGCCTGAGAATCGATTCCCCTTGCACCAGATAAAAAAATAACCGCTATAAACGGGCAAAAATGGCTATATTTCCCACAAAATGTATTTATACTCTTGAATTATGAATTTCAACATAACCAATCACTCTTTCCTTGATCAAAAAGTCATTGTTGATTGTTCTCGTTGAATCAAACATATTTATTGCTCATTCCTACTCTCTTTGATCACTAATACTCTTTGAGCCTTATCCTTGTGATATCGTCAACACCTCTAGGCCATCAATTTGTATTATTTGTACTTCAAGAGTACATAGCCATTGTTAAACACCTTCCCTTTATATTCTTGATTTGAGAGGGTTGTGAGACTCATTATATTTGAGAGGTATCGAAATATGTAAGTAAATTTGGAGTGAAGTGTAAGGTTTCTAAGAACTAATAACTAATAACTTGGAACATTATAGTTATTTATCAAGCACCCTTGAAGCTTAACCGTTAGTGAAAAAGTTGATCGAGCAGCTTCAGTCTGGACGTAGGTCACAAGTGGTGGTGATCGAATCAAGATACATGCATCTAGTTTGCAATTTATCTAACCTTCAACTCTTAATTTTATCTCTAAATTGCATTATTTGATTGAATTTGTTGTTCAATAGCTTATATATTGTTCACACATTAACATCTTCACTTAGAATTTTTTGTGCTAAATCAATTGATTGAAGAAATATTTTTTCAAAATATCAAAGGAGACATTTTACGAAAAGTTTTTATAAAATTAAATCACCCCTTTCTTGAGTTTTGAAGCCACTTCTCTCACAAGCGGTATTAGAGCTTAGACTCTTGTGTAAAGGGCTTAACTGCTTCAAGAGAATGGATGACTTCTTTGAATAATGAAATGCCCCTTGTGAGTTCTTCAACTCCTAGGCCTCCATTTTTCAAGAGAGATAATGGGGTTGATAGAATGATTCTAAAATTGTATTTTAAAAATTTGTATTATTTTTTAGTTTCTTCATTTTTCAAAAGCAACTAACACTCGGCTAAAAAAAAAAAAAAAGCATTTTAACTTTTGTTTTTTAAAATAGTAATTATCCAAACATCTAAATTTTTTCAAAAAGTTTGTTTTATAAAAAAAATAACTTTTTTTAATAAAAAGGTCCATCCAAACAGGTACTAACTTTCCCGATTTGATATGGTTTAGTGTATGAATTTCCTATTTGTGTATATACTTGGCATAACCTGGCAATAGGGTTTTACACAAGCATTCAATCAATTGTCTCTAATACCTGGCATAATCTTTGAATCCAAAGTAAGGCCTGCTGATAACATCAAAGACTAAAATGAAGGCAGAATGTCTAGACGCATCATTTCTTATCGGCAAAAATCTTATATTAGTTTCTCTATTATTGAAATATGCATTAATTTGGTCTCTTATAAGTTGAATTTGAAGAATATTTTAATTGCGAAAGAACTGAATTGTTGTATGTTTGATTAGTGATGGACTAAGTTGCAAAAAATAATTTGAGAAACCAACATTCAGTATGCAAGTGCTAACTTTGAACCTTTCCCTTGGCTAACTTCTATTGCTACAGAGGCCTTGTAGACTTGGAGAAATAGGGACATACAAGGAAAAGGGACATGGTAATAATCGGAGTCATGACATCAAACACTATAACAAAAACAATGATTGGTGTCAAATTGTCACCTATTAACTCATTGGCTTTTAGGGAGACACCGTTAGCCCTGTGATATTGCGTGTTTCTACTAATAGCTGCCCTCTTGGCAGTAAATTCACCAAACAATCTTTCATCACCAACTTACAAAAATAAAAACAAGAATATTATAGGCTCAGGTGTTGGTTATTTCCAGCCATAATTGTGCATGCATAGTAGCAATTCATAGTTTACTTCCTGTATGAATAGATGAATACTGTACATTGATTACTAAGGATTGAACGAACATAATTGCTTTGGACGTTGTTTATAATCTTAATGCCAATCACTCACCAAAATAGTTATACTGTAACTGCAAAAGAGAAAAGAAAATTGTTGAATGCCTTTGTGATTCACATTACAGTGTTGGAGGCTTTCCAACCAAAATAAGTATATATGTCACCGAACTACATTTCCCAACAAACTGTTTGTTGAAGGTGAGCTAGGTCCACTTAACCAAGTATCATGCACAGATGCAGGAGAGCCTTCCTTCACCTCCTCCATTGATTGCAAAAAATTATCAGTATTCTGTTGAACAATCAATGTCTCACTCCCTTGTCCTGCTCTCTCAAAATTTATACCACCCAGTGAATTCTCACTTCCATTACGAAGTGATGAACACGCGGACCCAACCGATGAAGCCGTGCATACAGTTTCCTCCATAGTTGCCCAACCACTGCGTCTGATGTGTTCTAGCTCCTCTGCCACTTCAATCATAGTAGGCCTCATGTCACTATGAAAAGCAAGGCATCTAAATGCAAGCTCAGCCACCTTGTGAACAGAATAGAGTGTCCAAGCATCCCTATGTGGTTCAAGGAAGGGATCTATGATCTCATCTACACAACCCCTCCTAATCCTATCAACAGCAAGTGCAGCCAAATTTATCTCACTCTGAGCTCGAGCAAAATCAACCACTTTCATGGCTGTTATTATCTCTACCAAAACCACTCCAAAACTGTAGACATCGCTTTTATCAGAAAGATGGAAGTTCTGGTGGTATTGGGGATCAACATAACCCGGAGTCCCTTGTGGGGCGGTTGAGATATGTGATGTTTCTGTCATGCCAAGCCTAGAAAGCCCAAAATCTGCAACTTTTGATTGAAAGCTATAGTCCAAGAGTATATTACTAGATTTTATGTCTCTGTGATAAATTGGAGGATCAATTGCAGAATGGAGATATGCTATAGCATTAGCAGTTTCAGTAGCAATGGTGAGTCTTACTGTCCATGGGAGTACTCCACCCCTCTCTCTCTGCAAATGTTGAGATAGTGTTCCATTGGGCATATACTCATAAACAAGTATCTGCTCTCCCCCTTCTATGCAGCAACCAAGGAGGCGCACTAAATTTGGGTGACTCACTGAAGAGAGGAGCTTGATCTCATTCATGACTTGGTCAACACTGTTGGTGTCTCTATACTTGATCTTTTTTATAGCAACGCACTCATCATTGTGAAGGTTTCCAGCATAAACTGTTCCAAAAGCCCCGGTTCCCAGCCTTTGTTTCTCTGAGAAAAAATTTGTGGCTCTCTCTATTTCTTTGTAGGGGTAGAAAGGAATACTAGAGTTTCCTGCAGCTTCTCGTAACAGGCGCTTAACTGTCATTTGTTTTCTCAGAAAAATGGAACGATGCTTGGCAAAGTAACATAGAAGAGACAGAGCAGCCACCAGGGAAGCTCCAACTGTGATCCCTGCGAACAATCATGTAGCATTGATCAAAACTCTGCATGCATGCTTTTGGATAAAAGAGAACGAATATAAGAGAATCAATGATGTATCAGGAAAATAAGAGAGAGATAAAGTAAATACAAGCTAGTCCTATAATTTGAAATTGGTGATTTACTTTGTATTCAGTTTTCTCCAACTGTGTTTAATTTTTAAGTAAAGACATGCATTCAATACTAGTCCACTACTAACAAGAAACTGTCTCAGCCAACAATGATTTTCGTATGAAACCCATTTATCAGGTAATCATTGAATAAGAAATCTATGAACTACATGTTATGTGTAAGATCATATATTAGCAGAAGTTACTGAGATTCTACCTCCAACTAGGACTCCAATTTTGATTGCTTTGCCACATCCTCCAGACCTCAGTGTTGAAGCATTGCATTTAGAAACTGATGAGAAGTCTACAAAAGAAAAAGGGATTAGAAAAGTGACAATATTTAAAGGGTAATATTACTCTCATGTAACATGAGAGTAGTTCTCTCATGTTACAGAGAGAATTCAAGTAGGACCCGCTATTTAAAAGCAAAAAAAAAAAAGAAAAAAGAAGGGACATGATCTTCGAAGTGAGAGAAAAGGAGATAACTACCTCATGTAAAATGAGACTAGTATTTCCCATATTTAAAACATAAAAGCTTACTTCTCCAAGGAAATCAAATAGTCAGTAATGTAGTTAATGCAGCTGATTTTTTTACACCTTGTATAATTTTATTCTAGGCACACATAAAATATATTAACCACCATTAGATTATTCATGTCTGAACAACAAAGTCAGTGAATTTATATCCCGTATCTAATAAGTAATTGCAACTGGATCTGCTGTGTATTCAATATTCCTGGTTGATTGAGTCAAAGCAGATTTTACTTGGATTTAGTTTATCAAGAACTCGTATCACACTCAGTTTCTATTGTCAGCATCAGCAAAACATAAATGATAAGCAAGTCGGTGATGTCCTGAACTTAGAAGTTAGCGGTTAATATCAGGTTCATTTCCAAATAACTCACATGGTGAGAATGTATTTGTAACTAATCTCTCCCCTTTGACCACTTATAACAGAATAAGAAATTAAAATCCATCCGACCAGACATGTGCTTTACCTAATATTGATCTATAAACAATCCAAATTTGCTACCAGAACATGTTGACTTTTAAAGGATTCTTTCTTTGACAAGTTACCTTCCAAAACAAGAACATACCAAGCAATGAATAGTTGCTATACTTCCATATTCTCTGCAAAATTAAGGGTGACAAATCCTCCATTAACTGAAAAAATCTCTCCATAACCTATTACCACAGAGAGGAAAGAGGATGTAGGCCATCATGATCTATTGGTCCACAAGAATAAAAAATAAAATAAAATTAACCTTATGCTTAAGTTAATGTCCCACACATGCTCCCAACAAATCAAATCTCGGCATAATGGACCAAGATAAAGCACACTGATCTTGAAAAGATTCCCACACTAAAAAAACTCAATCCTGAATAAAGCAACAACCAGATGTCAAACACCACTTGGTCATCATTCAACAATTCCAATTATTATTACTATTATTATTCCATGAAGGAGGATCAAAGTGTAATTAAATAAAAAGTATATTATATATGAAGGAGTGGACTCACTGCTCCGGCAACCGGTGCCGTTCATGAAACCATCTCCGACGAAACCTTCACGGCAGCTGCACCGGAAACCTTGTTTTCCTCCAGCAAGATGGACCACAGCACAGGTTGCATTGTCAGAACAATGACAAGGCCATTCAAGCCACCACCCCAACTCAACCACCTGAAATTGGATTGGAAGGTCTTTGCTCTTATCAACAGCAATAGCAGAGAACAAGAACTTGCACCCAATTCCTCTCCAATCATCTAGTCCCATAACATCTTGCGGATTTTGATGCTGCAATCGCGTGAAGCAACTGATATTATCACTTCTGCTATCACAACCTTCCACCTGAATCCCGTTGCCAATGAAACTCGATGTGGGAATAAAGCAACCACCAAGCTTGGTCTTACAACTCTGAACGAGAAAGCTGTTATTCCATGTTGGAGCAAAGTTATTGCCGAAAAGGGTGTCTATGAAATTCTTGCTACGGTTACATTTCGCTGGTAGACTTATGAATATGCTATCAGAGGTTACGTTTTGGACCTGTAACTCCCCGATTTTGACTTGTTTGCTGTTGCTGCAGCTTAGTTGGACTTCACAGCCATGAGAGAAACCAAAAGGGTATTGCAGAGAATGTTCTCCGCAACTGCGCTTGCAATTATGGTTGTTTTTTGCAGTTGTTGAGCAGAACATGAAGATTGTGAAGAGAATAGCAAACTTTGTCTTGTAATAGAACATGTCTGGATGCAAATTGAAACCGTAGTTTGTGGGAACAGGGTAATCATCACCCTTCTACAAACAAACAAAAAAAGAGTTACCCTGTTGAGATTCAACTTAATAGAGACAACAAAGTTTTGAGCCCTTTTCATATAAATATCTCGTTGACTATGAGAAGCTGGATTAAATGAAAAATTAAAGCTTGTGAAGGATGCCGTTGGGAAGCCATCTATCTCAATAAATGCTTAAAAGCTTCAATTTTATTCCGATGAAAAAGAAAAAAGAAAAAAAAAAAAAGAAATTGAAGGAACGGCTTTGAGGTAACAACAATATGCATGCATACCTTCAACTTCAAGGCTCTGCAACGTTGAAAATTAATGGGTATGGCAGTGGAAGGAGTAATTCACCAAGCAACTCGAAGATCGAGGTTGAAATTGTCATGTAAGAAAGAAACTAGAGTTATCTAAGTTAACGTTAACGTTGTTTGTTCCCAAGAAAACAATAGAATGAAACAGCAACGTAACATAAGCATAGGGAGCAATTTGAGGTGTTTTTCTAAGAAGCTTCTCTCGTTCACACACTGTTCTTTGGCGTCTGAGACTTGTCCTGGAACTAGAACGTAAAATACATGTCTTCATTTTACATTTTTTATTGAATGACGAATATAACCTTTTATTGAATTTTTCTTCTGCGTAGAAAAAAGCCCCTGCTATCCACGCCAAATTGTCTGCGCGTAACGTTTAAGTCAGCACCTGAACGCAAATTATTGAATTGCGTTTGAAATTATGGGGTGTTCCTTTATATTCACTTTGGGAGGGTCCCGTAAAAATATTTTAACGAAATAATATGATTAAAAATAGTAGTCTTTTTAGAAGGAAAAAATGTGTGTCATTCCAAAGAATGTAAAATTGTGTCATTTTAAGAGAGAGATAGATAAAAGAGGAGAGAGAGTTGACAAAAAAAACATAAAGGTGTGGATCACACCTTTTTGTGAGAGTGAAATGATATAAATTGTGTTATTTAAGAGGATAAACACTTTTTCCTTTCAAGAATAGTATTAGGGTTCGCTTTTTCTACGGTCAATGTAGATAACTTATCTACAGTGAGCCCAAAACGACGTCGTTTTGAAGCGGAAATTAAGGTATTTTTATAATTATAATTTATTTCAGGGTTATAATAGTCTTTTTCATTATAATTTTTTAATTTTTTAACCCAAAACGATGTCGTTTTGGGAGTAAATGTAAATAACTTATCAACATTCACTTTAGAAACATTAAAGCCATTATATTAATGATAAAAGAGGGGTGTGAAAAATATTTGGGATCATTGTTTCAAATGTTGTTCATATATATATATATATATATATATATATATATATATATATATAAGTATATGGAATCTATATTTTTTTTATATGTGGATCTTATATGTTTTTATACATGTGTAGTAGATAAAATTATTTCTTATAATAAGAGAAATATTAATAAAAAAATCATAAAAACAGAACCCAATTGGAATCAAACCAAATTGCATCGTAAAATAATAGAACCACTTTTATCTGAATCACTTTTATTTAACCTGATTTATGAACCAAACTAATTTTTAACCCTCGGATCCTAATTGAGTAACTCAACTATCCATTTCCTATCTCCATTAACTTCGAAAACCCATGGTTGTTCCAAAGTCACACTCTCGCACTTCACATCATTGTTCCAAGTTTCCAACTCCCTTCACCATTTTCCAGCCTTGGAGGACGAGATCACCATAAGGAGAAAAAGTTGGATCTAAGCGGGGGAGAAAATCAACTAAGAGAATGGCTTTTGAATAGATTGATTGATCTTTGATTTCTTATTCTCTTTTTTGGTGTAATTTTTTTTTTTAAAATAAAATGTGTGAATACTGATAAATGAATCGTATACGATATTTTCTCTGTCAGCAAAAGTAAAAGAACAAAAATAAGTTTTCTACAATTTATTTTTGGAATTTTTAAAACTATTAATTTATATGAAATATTTTAATATATTTTAAATCACTTTCTGAGTTCTTGTTTCAGTTCAAGTGGAAAATTGATTTCACATTGGGATTAAAGTTTTTCATATTATTAGAAATTATTTTTTACATATACATAAAAATGTATGGATTCTAATTTCTTTTTCTCTTCTCCTCATATGATTCTATACATTTTTATATGTATATATAAAATAAATTTATTTTGAACATCATAAAAAACTTTAAACCTTTTCACATTATACGAAATCAAAATTAGTACTCCTTACAGAAAATTTGGAATAGTCGTAAAATTATTATATTGTTACTTAAAGGTCACATGTTTGCTTACCAGAAAAAAAAATCACATAATTAAATTCAGATAGTTTTTTTTTTTTTTTTGTAAAAATACAAGGATGAAATTTCCCTTAATTACCCTTATATCCTCAATAATGGAGTTTAATAGAGAATGATTTTATTTTATCAATACTCCTTGTAAAAAAAGCTATCACTGCTTTTCAAATATTTCTTTTAGTCAAAAGAGAAAGATAAAATGTCATGCTAATAATGTCAAGACATGCGACGAGTGTTAACTAAAACTTACAATAATACAATAATATATATATGGAAAAAATATTTGTCTTTTTAAAAGATATAATTTTGAGTCATTTTAGATTCTAAACGTTGATTTTTGCCAATTAACAGTTAGAATTTATTGGGTTTTATTGCGAATTACTAATTAATTTATAAGTTTGACCCAATAAATCATAATTGTTGATTGACGAAAAATCAATAGTTAGGATAAAAAATAACACAAAGTTATATTCTTTAAAAGAAAATATTTTACCATATATATATATATATATATATATTATATATGGACTTATCATTTCTTAAGTTACTTGAGATAATTTTATCGACTACTAAATCATAACTGTATAAAGATGGATCAATGGTGATAAAGAAAAAGAGAGAAAAAGAAAATCATAACTATTCAAAAGTAAATCAAATAATATAAGAAAATAAATAAATAAAATGACATAATTAATTTTTGAATAAACAGAAATAAATATATCTCAAACTGTTTGATAAATGTTTTTCTTTTATATATATATATATATATATATATATATATATATATATATATATATATATATATATATATATATATATGACTTATTAGTAAAGAATTACTATAAAAAATCTATTTTCTTTTACTTTGTTCAATATCTTATTAATTAAACTAATTCTGATTGGTCTGATTCACTTAACATTTAGCATTTTTTACAAAATTGTCTCGTTCCACAAGTATTCTTTTACGGATTAGAACCTCATGAAATACTAAAGTTACTCTTCCCAATAGAAGGCTTAATCCCTGTTAGATGTCAAATTGATTCCAGCGAAGTGATTGCTAAAACAAAAAAAGGGTTTCCATAAAATAAAAGAACAAGGAAAAAGCTTGAGCTGAGATCCTTTATTGAATTGGTTGCTAGCTTTATTTATATTAAAAATAAAAGGAACGCTTGTGGGGTGAGCAATAAGGCGAAGTTGGAGACTTTTTATTTTTATTTGTTTTAACAATAAGGAGATATCTTCGTTCGACCCCCTTAGCTCTTTCAATTATTTTGATTTCGGAATACGGTTTTAAAGCTAACTTCTTATTAAAGCGTGCATTAAATAATTGTCACCGAAAAAAAGAAGATTAATCCATTATTAAAGATCAGAGCACAAAGATTTCACCTCTGGCCACAAAGAATTATGCTAAGAATCAAACCCAAGAATCAATCTTACACTTCTCTACGAAGTGTGTTACCCCTGCGATAAAGTTGGAGACTCTTTATTACGCTAGGAAGTAGAATATCATTCAATTTCTATCTAATTTGTCACTGTCAAATTAAGTATAGTGTAATTGTCATGCAATACAATTCTAAGAAGGAAAAAATAAATATTATGTTATAGGAAAATTTTTAGATTATGTCATAGGAACAATTAATTGTGGGATCCATTATTTTTAAAATAAAAAAATAAAAGAATTGATAGGTCAACTTTTATAATTGTGTAGAAAAATTACTTGTATTATAAAAAGAAAAAAACATTATCTTTGCAAGAGTCAATAAACCGTGTAAAGATACTCGAAATTTGTGACTCCGTGACTGTATATTTTCTTTTAGATATCAAAAAGTAAGAGAAAGGAAAATGTGGGACAGTGACATGGACACGGTTTCGATTGGGACAATTTAGCAGCAATGGAAATCTAAAAGTGGATATGTCACCTTTATGTTCCCCTGTAGGCATTTGACTGCAGTGGTAAACTAAACGCATCAAAAGGATATCGACGGAAAGGAGAATATATACACATAAATATTACTCAATTAGACATTAAAATATAATTTAAAAATGAATTTTTTTTATATTTTTATTGTGAGAGCTAAATTTTTTAATAATATAACAATATATAATTAAGTAATAATATAAAAAGATTTTAATTTCACAATATATCAAACTAAACTCGATAGTGTATAAATTTTTAATGTGAAAGAAGATAAACAATTTTTTAAGAGGAAAATGATCTAAACTTGACTTATTTTTAAAATGAGTAAATAAATATTTATTTATCTTTACTTTAAAAATATGCATAATAATTTTACCCATTAAATACACTAATTATTGAACATGTATTGATTTATTCGTTTAAAAAAAATTATTTTAAATTTTACCCTTTTATAGATTTAATTTTAATTAAACTTCAGAATAAAAAAAAAATTTATGCATATGAATTTTAAATGAATAAAAAAATTTAACCACAATAACTAATATTTAAAGAGGAGAGATTTTTTTGACTTCAGTATAAGATTAAAACGTTTTATATGTTATAATTTTCATATCTCAATCGTTGATCTTCAATCATTTAATAATTGTAATTTTTTGAATTATATCAATTAATTAATTATTAATTCTATCTCAATTATTGTTATTAGATGGATAAATATTAATAACTAAAATTAGGAATAAAACTTATTAATCTTACAGAAAAATCAACACATCCCTCCTCATATTTAAAATATCTAGCCTTTTAAATAATATATCAATGCACTGTTAAACAGGGTAAATCTTTAGAATACTCGATCAAATTTGAACTCAATAAGGGCGAATTATTACTTAGTGTTGTTTCCTTGTTTCTTAAGTTAAAATGCTAAAAAATGAAGCAAGATATCCAACTACTATTTCAATTATTTTATACTTACTTTTTATTAACGTTAAACGGGGTAATTAATTGCGCTCCACTATCTTTTTATTAACGTTAAATATACTTACTGTTTATTTAAAAATTATATATCTGTTACCAAAAAAAAAAAAAAAAAATTATATATCTATTTTTGTTATTTTGTTGTTTTAAAAATATTTCAGGTAAGCTTGAGGGTTAGCTCAAGTGATAATATATTAGGATGGATGAATAACTTAAAGAGTTGGGGTTCGAATATTGAAAAAGACATTTATTTGGTGTAAAGCTCAATAATTAGCATGCCTCTTGACTCAAAATTAGTTTTATACATGTGTATGCCCTCTTTTTTTATTTCAATCGTG